ATTCCTGCCGGTCATTCACAATTTCAAGCTTGCCATTCCCATCTCACTGGCACCGCCGCAAGCTCTTTTGAGACATTTCTTGCACTTTCTCTGCGAAAAGTTCAACTGAGAATTGAGCATCGCTTTCGAGGAGTTCCTGCTGAAAGGCCATCCACAGATTGATGTCCAGCTTTCAATGGGAACATCCCATCCTGCGTCCTCCACCTGGTGCCACACCCGCTCCCTGGAGCTGTATGCGGTTGAAGCCACCCATAGTTTCTTCGGGAGTTCCGACACGACAACATCACATTTCTTCTCCACCACTTGAGGCTCAGCCATTTCAGCTTCCAACCAGGGAGTACCATGAGGAGGTCCCGCAGGTGTGGCCTGGTTCATGCTCTTCTCTTCGCCTTGGCTTCTTGGCTGTCTCTTCGTTCTAGGCGGTTCATTCACCGTCAAATTCTTGTTCGCCGGTTCCGACTGCAGTGCATCCTCTGCATAGGTGAGCACTACTGACGACTTCCAGCGCCCCAAGAAAGCCAGCTCCTGTATGGGCATTCCCAATCTCACATATCCCATGGCACCTGATCTTCTCGCAGAATGGCCCTGGATGTGCTCCGATGTGACAGAAGCCCATCCTTCCACCATCTTGGCCTTGGAGAGCTTTCTTCCCTCGGAGTCCTGGAACACAAACTCGTAGGGATCTTTCTCAACTCCTTTCAGCGCCTTCCACATCTCCGTCCACAATCTCCAGGGGCACCACCTGTAGCAGCTCTTGCCATTGCAACACTGTAGAGTTCTACGCACGCCCAGGGCCTGCTGGTCACACTTGGAGACAGGGATGTAGACGGAGACCCTCTTCTTATCCCAGTCGGCTGAGATGTCTCTCCACTTCATCGCACTCACTTCAATCTCCCTCAACATCCAAACTACCGCCCAAGCATAGGCCAAAGCAGGTCTGGCTGTCTTCTTTGGTCCCCTGCAAACCATGATCCACTTGAGGTGCTCAATGTCGTCCAGCTTGAACTCCGGCGCTCTTCTCACTGGTCCTCTGTCTCTCTTCAGCGATCTTTTGCAGTCCACTAGGGCTTTGTTGAGTTGTTGACTCACCTCCCACCCCGCTTCAATGTGCATCAGCTTCAGCTCATTGACATACTGATCGCCTGAGGACCAGCCCACTGCTTTGATCGCGGCAGCCACATTCTCCACCGTCTCAATGGTCAAGGGGAAGATCTGCTCGCTGTGGTGGCTTGCTTCTTTCGCCATAGCCATGACCTGCTCTCTTTTCGTCCTCTGGGATGCTCTGGAAGACTTGGCCATGAATCCATCTCTGAGCTTTTGTCTGGCCCTTGCCAGCTCCTCCTTGCCCTTCAGGATGTTCATGACGTCTTCAAAGGAACCCCTCTTCGTCGAGTCTCTTCTCACCCTCCTTGATTCCATCTCCGGATCTCTGCCCCCGTCACATTCAGATCTTCTGTCCACCTTGTCCTGTTCACCGACCCGATCGGCCTTCACATGCAATCTATTCCGAATTAGGCTTGTCATGCAATTCTGGGGGTCCCCCGCTGCAAAACCTGTCAGACCCCACGCTCTCTTGGTACTCACTGAATGCGGGATCCACGTCGCAGCATAGGGCCCGGACCCCCTCCACCAAGGCGTTGCATATCTTGTAAATCTTGGACCGCCGGTTGAGCTCGCTGCACCATAGCTTCCAAAATCCGAGTTTGCGCCAGTCGAACCTCTGGTGAGCGCCCCGGTGACTCTCTCATCCAATCCTTTTGCCGCCGCCTCTCTGGGGTCACGCTGACTTGTCTCGCTCTGGAGCTTTCTCTCTCTGGCGACCAGCTTCTTCTGGGGGTCCCTGACGTGCTTGTTTTGCCACGGGGTGAACATGTCCTGTCCTCAGTTCCTCCCCCTTGTTGGAGCTCCGCCTTTCCCTCTCTACCTGGCCTCCGCGGAGTCAAACTCCACCGTATCGCCGTCCACAGGCCCTGCACGAGGCTCAGAAAGAAGAAAAACCACCCGGCCACCACCGCAAACTCCGCGTAAGACCACTGGAGTACGGTGGCCTCCACCGTCAGGGCATCAGGTGGCCTCACCATAACTTGAGCCATCGTGGGCTCTCCCGGCGAATGTCCGAGCATCAGACTCAGCCGAAAACACCGAACGAGTGACGACGTCCTAGTGCACCTGCTTCGAACAAACGTTCCATGCCTCAACTGCGATCGACCTGGCCCCCGATCTCTCCCTCCCCCCTCAAGCCGAGAATGGCAACGAAAACTGTTTCCGTCGCCATCCCTTCACAGCAGCTCGAAGGCTCCGGAGATCTGCTGGGCGGTCGCGCCCCACAAGCCTGGGGCCATCCCCGGCGGTGGAAGGTACGATTTATGCATCAAGTTCCTTGGGAACGTCTTGATCGGTACCTTCAAAAGCCTCTCTGGCTTGGGTCCCCTCTCATGCGGCCTCGACAACCAGTCAGCTTCCACGTTCCAGTTGCCGGGGATATGCTGTGTGATCACGCGTCGGATGCCTTGCTTGTCAAACCTGATGGCTAGCTCGGCCCCCACCCAGTTCACCACCGGCGATGGTGACGAGAGCTTCTTTGCCATGGCCAAGGCTACCACGCTGTCGCTGCGGATGACGATGCTCTTGTTCTCGAGTCGGTTTGCCCACCTGCGCACCGCCAGCTTGATCGCCCAGGCTTCCAACGGGCCCTGCGACGCGGACTCGTTCCAGGGCACTCCCAACCACTTTGCGTCCGCCTCCTCAAGCTGGATCTCCAGGCCCTCGATGATGGTGAACGTTGGTCCCATGTTGTTATCCACCGTAGCCAGCAGCGCTCCGAGCCCCTGCGGGCTGGCGTCCGTCACCAAGGCATAGTCCGGGAGCAACTCCACCATGGGCTCCGTCCTCAAGGTCAGGGCCTCCGGCTCTTTGAACAATCGCACGAACCACCGCCTCGGGAGCTCCAGCCGTTTGACTGCAATGAGTCCCACCTTGGGTCTCTGGTCGGCTCTCTTTGTGGCTCTCTGTTTCTCCTCGTTCTCGGAGCGCTTGGCATCACTCAGCACGGCATACATGATCGAGACAGCCCAGCGTGTGCGCGGGAGGATCCCCGCGATCCATGAAAGCCGGCCCGTCAGCTGCTGGACCTCCTTGAAGCTCACCATGCCTCGGGTCTCCCAAGCTTCCAGGTCATGCACCGCTTCCGTCATCATTTTCTTCGGCGCCGTCAGCTTGATGACCGCTTCTGCCTGCACCACCTCAAACATGACCCCGATCCATGTCAGCTGTGAGCCTCGCGATCCTTTATGCCATGCCAAGTTGATGCCCAGTGCTCGTGCTGTATACAGCAAGAGAGCCAGGTTCCTGTTTCGTCGTGAGGTCGGACCCCGAAGAATCCACATTGGATCGTCCATGTACAGCTGGCTCTGCATCTCTGATGGGGCGATGAGCGATTGCCAGATCCGTGCCAGACAAGCTGCGAACCTTCCCATGAGCAGGGGAGCACCTTTGAAGCCAAATAACATCGCGACCCACATAAGGGTTTCGGTCTGATGCAGCCCCGGGCTCAAGCAATTTTGATGTTCTTCGGGATGAACTGGCAAATGGCAGTAGGCGTCGCTCAAGTCGGCCGTGACCATCTCGAAGTCAAAGATGCCACCATCCGGGCGGTCTTCATCCAACTCCCACTCCTCGTCTCTGGACTTGGTCTTCATGCGATCCTTGGTGCTCCACAGGTACCGGAAGCTGTCAATGACATCAACTACCCTGGGCAAGACGATCCTTTCTGGCACCTTGCACCTCGCATTGCCTCCTGATCTAAGCAGGTCAATAATGATCCTTCTCTTCACCGACCCATCCTCCTTGTTCTTGACCAGCAGTGCCAGCTTCGAAACGATCCCTCGTGAATGCATGGTCTTTGCCTTGCCCGTCGGGAGGACCACCGCAAAGCCCTCTTCCACCAGCCGGCTTAGTTCCGCTCGTGCATGGACCGGCTCGTCAGTGAAGGACTTGTAGTTGGCCACTCCCAACTGGTCCGCCAGCTCGGGCATCTCTTCCATTTCCATGTCAGGGTCGTCCGCCGTTGGGAAGATGCCACAACACGGAATCTCTTTGCTCATGCCCAATGGCACACCTCTTCGAATCCATTCGACCAGGTGCTTCTCCGGGTCAGCCGCCGCCCTCAACCATGCGTCCCATAGCTCTGGGTCCAGTGGGGACTCGAACTCGTACTTGTCCTTGAGCGTGATATCCGTGAAGGCTCGTGTTTGGAAGAATTGCTTCAATGCCGCCTTCCACATCATCTCGACTTCCATGTCCGGCCCGTTTCCCTCGGATCCGTACTTCTTGGCGATGTCCAATGCCTTCGGGAAGTCCCTGATGAAGCGGTCCCAAATGCGTGACACATCCATGCCGACCTGCCGCACCCTGGACAATCTCTCTACTGCTCGCCCCGGGTTGCGCATGCCTCCAATGAACCTGTCATTCTCTTCTTCCCGCCTGGCCTTCTTCGACTCGCCCAAGTGAGGTCGAATGTCTTGTGTCACCTGGGTCTGCTCCCAGACTCTCTTTGATGGATCTGCGGCTGGTCTTCCTTCTGGAGGTCCCTGATAAATCTTCTCCTTGCTCAACAACCATTTCTTCTTCAACTCGGAGACCTCCTCCGTCTTCGTGATCAACCTGTTCCTCCAATACTCCAACTGCAGAGTATGTTTGAACGCCGTGATGATCAGCTTGCAGTACTCCTCGCATAGTTTCCTTGGATATTGCGCTGCAACTGAAGTGCGCTTGGCTCCCACCAGAGGTTCATGGCGAATCCATTGCCCACAGGTGCAGGATCGGCTCAACTTGTGGAGATCCCAGAGGCATCCAGCGAAGCGGCCTGGTTTGTACCACCTAACGCGTTCCCCCTCCTGGTACGCACAGGTGTTATAGTCAGCCACCTTCCCCTCGAACACTTCCATGAACGTCTTCACCTCCGGGAGCTCCCAGGCGGGTCCTTCTTCTTTGGTGTCTGACCCTGGGGGGTTTTCAAGAGTTCCCGCCTGTGGCACCCTGCGCTTCCTCTGGTCCTTCAAGATGATCCCGATGATCTCCACCGACCTTGATGCCAAGAGGGTGCCAACGTCTGCTTGCTGTTGTTCTTCCGGTGAGTTTGAGGGGAGACCGTAGATGTGCTGCAGGGACCTGACAGGTGGCGGGCCTCGATTGACCATGTTCCATCTTGCCCTGCTGAAGGTGTTGCATGGAAAGCCCGCATGGCCTGCATCGAACGCTGACTTCTCCGCTTCTTCCTTAAGTTCCATGAACGGATGGTCTTTTGTCAGGTCCACGTCCCCCTCACCTAGCTTGTCCAAGCTGTACACTTCCAGTTGAAGCCCCTCCTTCTTCGCCATGTCCTTCAAACAGCTGCCCAGTACATCGTCCTTGCCACTAAACAGGTGCACAAAGCGAAACACCCGCAGCTCCTGATACTCCGGGAAGTCCCTGGCGTTCCGTAGTGCCTCACGGATTCTCTCTGGGAGGTCCTCCAACTTCGGTTGTTCCAAGCTCCTCGATGAACTCGCCATCACCGCCCTCGCGTTCGCCCGCCCCAAGCCTCTTCGAGCCCAGGGCACTCGAACACTCAGCTTCGTCCCGTCCGTCCTCGTCCGCGTCCAAGGGATTCAGGCTCCTCTCAACGAGTTCGAACGACCAACCGATCGACCATCGAATCGACACGGCCACAAAACACCTATCCCTCCCGGCTCACCCCCCCGTTCCTAACCGAACGACCGCACGCGTATCTACCCCACTCCCCCCTCGCAAGCAAGCAAGAGGCAAACCGCACCATTTGTCCCACGGTCCCTCCGGGATCACACGGGTGATGCAGTCTTCTTGGGGCACTCCGCATTCGGATGAGCCGGTGACATGCACAGCATACATTTATGCACGCGCTTGATCTTCCCTTTACATTCAGAACCTGCTGGAAGTCCCGCACACGGGCCAACGCTCTTGGCCCAACTGTAGCAAATCTCCTGACCTGCTTGGTCCTTGCCTTTACCTTTTCCTTTGCCCTTGTTGAAGTCCCCCTTCGACCTCTGCTCCCTGAATGACGACAACTCTTCACGCTCGGCAGCCCATCTCTTCCGCTTGGCTGTTCGCCTGTCTCGATTGGCCTGCCTCCTCCGCTCACTTCTGTCGTCCCCATCAACAGGTTCTGCATGAGGTCCCGGATGATGTGCCATGGCTATACTCTCGGCTGGTGGTCTGGGAGCTCCGTGTGCCCCACTAGCCAGCCAAGCTGCTGCTGGATGTCTCACCTGCTCGTTCCAAAATGTTTCATCCAACGCCAACGCCCTAAAGCAAGCAGTCCAGGGTTCGTCTTCCGTGAACTCCCTTGGGGGGGTTGCACCAGCCGCTACTTCTAGCACTATGTTTCTACGAATCTTCTCCAGCTTCTCAGCCCTCGCTTTGTCGTCCGCCTGAGCTATGAGTCCCCAGGCTTTGGGCCACTGCAGAACCAACTTCTCGATGACCTTCTCGTAAAGCTGCAAAGCCGCCAGCGTGACTATGTTTAAACAAATGCACGCCGCCTTAAACACCCTCCAGCTCACCAACCACTGTTGCAGGTTCTGCGGGCCGGGTAACTCCTTCATGACGAACGAACCATCTCCTATGGGCATGAATGCACGAAACTTCTGATTCTTCAACACCCTCCTACCAAAAGGGAGCCACACCGAGAAGTCCACATAGGGGGGTTGCTTTTGCACTGCCACACGATGATGCAATGCAGCCAACTGAGCATCTGTGGGTTCTTCTTCTTCTTGAGGTGGAGCTCCCATTACTGCGATGTAGCGTTGTGTCCATTCGTTGAGCTTCACCGCATCAGGCAACCGTGTCTCCGAATCATCCGTCTGGTCCACCAGGTTGGCCATCTTCAACAGATTTTCTTTGCTTCCTGAAGCACTACCACCACCTGTCGTCATCGTCGTTGATGAAGGGTCCACGTGACCTGTACCGTCAGGGGGTCCACCGCTGCTCGGCAACATCCAAGGATCCTGGTCAACAAACCGGCTGGCATCCCCTCCTCCTCTGAGATGAATGATCCATCTGGCATTGCGCCACATCAGCCCCACTTGAGCCGCTTGAATGGGGGTAAACCTGTCACCAGAAGGCAGCAAGGCCGCTCCTACGATGTGAGGGATGGTCCATGGTGGCATAGCTGCAACTAAACGGAGGTCGTTCCCGGGATCACCGGCCACATGAAGAAACGCGGACCATACCTCGTCAGCAACCTGCAGGCTCGACAGGAGGTCCGGAATGGTTGCCACAGCGCTCGCTTCAGCCTGGCTCAACAGCACCATTCCACGGCTCGCGCGTCTCTAAAACAAATGGTCTTCGACCATCCTGGTGAGCCAGGCTGAGGTGGACATGTTTAGTCAGTCCCCCCCACCCTCCAAATTACATTAGGCTCTCTTATGTCCTTCAGTTCATGCTGAACTTCATCATAAATATTTGATTCCTGAACTTCATTTGAGACATTCATGCAGCATAAAGTTCTAACCTTGAGTAACATGAATGCGCAGCACTCCAACTAATTTAATTGTCAAGCTGTTCGTCCTTTTATAGTTTCGAATCTCCTAAGAAATCCTTCACAGTGTCACTATAGCACTATAGCTGCACTTGGAAAAATGTTCCATGGGTCTCGGTGTTTGCTTTAGGTTTTACATTGTTCGGAGTTTGGACCCACTAATCCCATGCAGTTGCTCCCACCCCCATGAACTGCTCCTAGTCACGCACAATCTGATCTCCCATCTTCTCATCTGGCCTCGGGTCTGCTTTCCATGCCTCAGCACAGGATAACCCAGATGCTAAATCAACCGAAGCAACTTCTCACACATGAGCTGCCAGTCAGCAAATTACACTCGAGTAGATTTAAACAACTGGCTGTGGGTCATAACCAAACAGTGTGGGCTGGCGTGCAGGGCCGTTTTGCCATATTTATGAGTGGGTGGTCTTGGAGTTCCTGTCAAAACAAGCGAAGGCTGCGCAGTGAGGGCGGTCGACTTTCAACTCTCGGTACAGTCTGGGTTAGATGAGTTACTGCAGCCAATTCGACATTGCCTCCATCATCTTGACCATTTTAACACATGGGATTGGTTGACCACGTCTGGTTAACCAACAGGGTCTTCCAAAGTGCCACCAGGAGCCATGACCGGCCCCAAGTGTTGCCACCGCGACGTTCGCCTCATGTTCCCACCCCTCATCCCACTCCGCGGCCAGAAGTCCCAACCCAGTTCACCTACGACTCTCCGAAACACCTTCATGAGGCAAAGTCCAAATCATGAACCGCCAAAAGACTAGCAACACCTCTTCCAAAGACTATGACTAAGCTTTAAAGACCTCTGTTTTTCCTTCCAGCTCAGCTATTCTCATTTAACCCCGTGCACCAACACCATACAGCGTAGGCAAGCCTAGGTGCCATGTTGGCCTGCAAGCGGAACAGTTTGGTGGCGAGGGAGAGCTCTGGAACCTTGCCGCTCTGCAGCAAGGAGCTGTACCACTGCGTGGTTTCCTGGGCAAAGAAGTGGCCCGCCATGCATCATGAATGACTCATGACGGAAGAGAAAAGGCCTCAAGCCTTCAGGTTTCTATGGGGCCTGAAACTGAGCTCTGCAACTAGCAACCTGGCAAGGCTGCCATGACTGTTTCAGTAGAAGGCAAGAAGCCAACGGGACAGTTTGAGGGTGGACACCTACTGAATGGAGCTGAGTTGGCCCTGGAAAAGTTGAGGACAACATTTACCCAAAGAGATCCAACTGGTTCCTGAAGTCGTAGTTGCTGTTGCCGTTCTGGGCGACAATCTTGGTTCATCTTGGTTCGGGGATGCTTGACACCACGTGTGGATGATGTTTTGTCGTGCTCGACAAGGCTTAAGCAGCTTTAACCTGACAAATCTGCTGATGGAAGTGTCCGCTCCCTGTCTACACACTTGCCCTCTGAAGGCCATGTGTTGCCATGGACTGTGTGCAACATCTTTGGACCTTGGACCTGCGTAACCTCGGACTTTTGCAAACAGCCAAAGTTCTAAGGATCCATAGTTCTGTTTCCATGATTCTGTATCCAACACGGGAGCTGGGCCATAGCTCACGTCCACATGGCAATCCATGTAGGGTCCAAACTATCCAACCCATCTGTCCCCACAGTTCATTCATACCGGCTGCTCCAGCAAAGACCCTTTCCCTCATGCCATGCATCGTGCAGGTGTTCCAAAGCCGCCAACGCGCTGCTATTCAGTGCCTTGCGGATGGCCTCCGGGCGACTCGGCACAGGGTGATGGTGGAGATTGTAAACAGGGGTCCATGGCGGCCATCCCTATAACATAGCCTTCCAACACAGGGCGACTCTAAGGGGAAGGAAGCGGTGACTTCCAAATTAGCTACTCCAAGGTGAGGAGCGATGTACTTACTTGACATAAAGCAACTTCTGCTGCGGCAACAATGGTGCCTGGTCCCTGTCTTCTGTCGCAGTGTCTTTCAAGCTTGCCAGGAGCTCCTGGTGGGACAAATTGAGTGGAAGGCAATTTCTTGGATGATACACAGGACCGAGTACAAGGTAACATAGGCCGCTGTTGGATCTTTTCTGTAAGAAAAACACCCTTCTCAACCGTTCATCTGGATCCATTTGCGATATCTATCCGTCGACCGTGTCTGATCAAAACAGAAAACAACAGGCTAACAGGACGTCAACCGATCTCAGGCTGTTTTGGACTGTTTGGTTTTCAACCCATCAGGCATCCAATGTTTATATAGAATATAGGTCTTGTGAAAAGTGTGAGGAACACAGCGTGCGTTTTTGGCATTTCGATCTCTGACACACACACACACACAAACGCAAACACGCACAGCCACAAGAAGGTACACGTGGACCTTTTAGAATAGGTACCCTGCAAATAATATCTTGCACAAAAGGAATGAATTTGAGACTATCTTCGGTGCCCACAACAAATAGAAAAACTATATCCAACAAATGTTGAAGGAGGATTGATTCACAGTTTTCACGAGTTTTTGGGCGTGAAGTGCCATCATCCACAGCCTGGAACCAAACTTAGAATTATACATTTGTGGGTAACCAACTAAGTGTTTGGTGTTTGGTTCCGAAAATAGCGATACACTAAACAAAAACATTCACCCAGCTGTGCCTTTGGAAGTTGTGAACCTCAATTTGTTGCCATCATACCAGTTGAGGCTACCACGGCATCCACATAGATAGACGCAATTTTAACGGCATCTCATCTCCCATTCGTGGATTCACCACTCCATCGACTTCTGGACGCCTGTTTATCCGGCTGGGTTGACCACTTGAAACGCCGGCGTCCTCATACTTCTGCCCTTCGTTTCCAGGCAGAGTCTGACAAAGGAGCGCCAAGCTCTCAGTCAGACCTGGTGCGGTACAGCAAGCACTGAATTCACTGCGGCTCCAGTTGGTACACAGGAGGGTTTCACTGTTTCACACCATTATGGTGCCCTCCGGTTCACCCAAACACCGTGCGCGTGTAAGATTTTGTAAGACAAGGTCAAGGTCTGCATGTGATGTTCATCGGACTTTCGTACTGCCCCGAGGAAAAGTATTCTTGAACAGTTCACCGTTATTTCAACCACCAGCAAGGGCGACACGTAGAAGACTGTCTTCTGCTCGCTCGGTGGCTGGCCAACATCCATCAACACCGGGTGTTTTCAAACCGTTTCAAACCCCTGTAGTGGGTCACAAAATGGATAGGTCGGATAGGACTCTTGAAAATCGTGAGCTACTCTCTCTCTCTCTCTCTTTCTGTCTTTATTTCTGTCTATCAGTCTGTCTCCCTAGAGTTGAGTTCACAAAGTGCAATCTCTTCCAAAGCCAGCGAAGGCTTCTCGCTTACCGTTTAACTCAGGAAGTTTGGGGTAGAGTTGCTTTTATGTTCGCAACGGTCCGCAGCTGTCGTTGCAAAAGAGTGCCACGCACAAGTACCGCACAAACGTGTACTACACAAGAGTTTCCCACAAGATTGCGCCGCAAGAGTGTCCTACAAGAGCTGCACAAGAGTCGACCCAAAGCGTCGCACAAAAGTGTCCTACAAGAGTGTCACTCTGAATTTTTGTCAGGAGTGTGTCTGAAGAGTGTCAAATAGTAAGTACAGTAAGAGCGTGCGTGCGTGCATTCAGTTTGTGGGCTCCGTCTTCTCTTTAAACCTATTGTCAAGATTTTTCAAGCCTCTTCTTCAGCTCCTCCCTAAGCAGTGAAACCAAACCCTCAGCTTCTCCACCAGTCACCAGTAGCGACCAGTTGACATCCTTCCCCAAACCGCTCCCTTCACCCCAAACCATCCAAACGGCCTGACTGCTCGAAGGCCTTTTGAACATCCACGTCCAAAGGCAAAAGGCTTCGAGGATCCAAGCAGATCAACGCCGCCACGGCCTCGCCCTAGGCCAGTTGGGCGGGTGAACTCGGGGGCTTCTGAGGCAGTGCGTGGAGGGAGACCACTCCATCTGTTGCTGCGAGGTGTTTCTTTGCTTGGGCGAATGTTCGGATTGAACACAGTGCTGCATCTCTTCATCTTCGTGGCCCTCGTTGACTCCTTGCAATGAACACATCTCGCGTTGTGGGACAAACCAAGTACTGTAGATTGTTCTTGAGTCTCGAGAATGAGAGCCGTTTGATGTTTTCACTGCTCTTATTGTAAATTTTGGTAAATGACACCATGCATGACCACGACCACGACCCTAAAACATACATATACATATATATATATGTATCTACTTCGGGAAGGCTGTGCATGTCCCAATCTTAAAAAAACATGCTGCAAGCTTGCAGCCAATCTTTGAGGCCACCCACCGACCCACCCGCTTTGACGTTGTCCCACGCCTTGGATCCAGCGGACTTTGCTGCCTCCCGGGCCACATTGGCCATCTCGAAGCACACGTTGGCACCTAAAAACACACTCAGCTCGAACACCATGTGGTTTTTTAACAGGTAGTTTTTTGGCATGACAAAGCCCCGAAATGGCACAGGTTGAAGTGGACCACCGTTCCCCACCAAAAGCTTTGTTTGGATTGGCTGAAATACATATATATATATATGGGTGGAACACATGTGATTGCCAGGGGGTGTGCATCTGTGCCCAAATGAACCAAGGGCAATGTTTGTTCCAGGCGAGTAAAAAGTTCTGTTGAGGCAACTCCCAAACAGGCCTGGTGAAGAACTCGCGGAGCCAACTTGGAACTCACAATCAGTTTATCAAAATTATGAAAACCTTTGCGCAACCAGCTGTTCCATCTTACAGTAGATGATTCTTTTGAGCTCCAAAGCTCCAGAGACCTTTCATCCAAATTCCCACCGGATCTTCTTGGAGCACCAGCCACCGACCAAGTGAAAATGGATCAACACCCTTCTATTCGTGATTTCATTTGACCCCGACGAGTTCTAAGCGGAAGCAAGAAGATGCAAGAACACGACCACTTGTATGAGGGAGTTTGGAAGGATTTGGATCCAATAAACCCCTCCTGGAAGTGAACATTGTCATCAAAACTTTTGATCCCCAATTCGCAAAACCATGGAGCATCGTGAGCCACCAAGGTGCCAAAGGAATGGCCCGCAAAAATGTAGGGCCCTTGAGGCTGCACCTTCTGAATCTCCCTGAAGAAGTGCTCAGAGAGCTCCTGTCGCACTGTGCTCTCACGTAGTCCAGCAGGATTTCTTTAGTTTTCTCCCCAACCAGTGTGGACACACTTAGGGTTTCTGACGGTAGTAGTTAACCAGCTGTGCTTAGATCGCTGTGCTGCACGGCCGTGTCCGGCTAATTCGCTGCTATTTGCAGTGCATTCATGCTGCTCGAAATCGTCAACGTGCGCTTCGATTCCGCAGGCTCGCGAAATCTGGGGGCCCGCGGCGGGTGCTTCTAGCGACTGCGCCCTCGTTGTGGTGCCGTGCGCATTTTTGCACATGGTGGCCACTTTTCGTGGCAGGTGCAAGGGAAACCTCGTGTTTTCATGGTCCAAAGTCTACTTTTCGTGACAGGTGCAAGGGATCGGAGCGGCTTCGCTTCGAAGTGAAGATTTCATGGCAGGTACAGCACTTGTGACACGGTGGTGATCTTCGAGGCGCTCTGATATAGTGACAGGTGTAGTGAACCGTGACTTTTGGACATGTGGCTCGTTTGCAGATTTCGTGGCAGGCGCAGCACATTGTGAACCTCGACGTGCAGATTTCGTGACAGGCACAGCACTTTGTGAACCTCGACGTGCAAACTTCGTGGCAGGCACAGCACTTTGTGAACCTCGACGTGTAGATTTCGTGGCAGGCACAGCACTTTGTGAACCTCGACACGCAGAGGCACAGCACTTTGTGAACCTCAATGCGCAGATTTCGTGACAGGCACAGCACTTTGTGAACCTCGATGTGCAGTGCAGTTTTCGTGACAGACGCAGCCCTTTGTGTCCCTCGACGTGTAGATTTCGTTGCAGGCGCAGCGCTTTGTGAACCTCGACGTGCAGAGTTCGTGACAGACACAGCCTTTTGTGAACCTCGATGTGCAGATTTCGTGACATGTGCAGCATTTGGTGAACCTCGAAGTGCCGATTTCGTGACAGGCGCAGCACTTTGTGAACCTCGATGCGCAGATTTCGTGACGTGTGCAGACTGGTGAACCTCGAAGTGCAGATTTCGTGGCAGGTACAGCACTTTGTGACCTCTATAAACCTCTGAAAGTGTACCTTGCTCTCATATGTGTGCTCTCCAAGCCGCTTTCCTGATATGCACACCTCTGTCACAACGCTCACCTCTCGCTCTCACTCATATCACTCACACTCACACCCACACTCACTCACTCGCTCTCACTCTCCCTCTCCCTCTCACTCTCACTCGCGCTCTCACTCTCACACCCACTCTCACACTCCCTCTCTCTCACTACTTCACTCACACTCACACTCTCTCGCACTCTCACTCTCATTCTCACTCACACTCACTCTCACTCACTCTCACTATCTCTCACTCACTCACTCACTCACTCACTCTCTCTCTCTCACTCCCACTCTCACTCACTCTCACTCTCACTCTCGCTCTCACTCTCACTCTCACTCTCACTCTCACTCTCACTCACGCTCATTCTCACTATCTCTCACACTCATACTCCCACTCACCCTCACACTCACCCACTCTCACTCTCACTCACACTCACTTTCACTCTCATTCTCACCCTCTCACTCTCTCACTCACTCACACTCACACTCACTCACTCTCACTCACTCACACTCTCACTCTCACACTCAGTTTCACTCTCATTCTCACCCTCTCACTCTCTCACTCACTCACTCAATCAATCAGTCAGTCAATCAATCAACCAATCAAACTCACTCGCACGCACGCACACACGCACGCACGCACAAACACTCACACTCACACTCACACTCACACTGACACTCACACTCACACTCACCACCACCGCAACCAACCATCACCACGATCTCCACCTTCATCACCACTATCAACTCTCTGGACTCTAATGCGTCTAGATCTCTAGACTTTCTGCTTATAGACCACACACACACTGTTTGGGGTGTCTTGCTGGGACAATTCAAGCTCAAGGGTTCACATAGATCGCTGGTGTCCTGCTCGGGGTGAGATCTAAGTACGGGCGCAGAGGTCACATTGAAGGAGATTCCTTGAACATGTTTGAATGGTGCAGGAAGATATATATATATATATATTATATATTATATTATATATATATATTATATATATTATATATTATATATATTATGTATTATATATATAGCTCCTCTAGCCCCAACCAAAGGTCTGAGACAGAACATATTCAAACTTGATGCAGTGGCTCAGGTGGTAGTTTGAGGTGTCCTCGGCCTTCCAATTGACCTTCAAACTACAGCAACGATCGATGTGGGAAAACAGCCACGGGACCTCCGTGAGACCCCTCTCTTCCGTGAGATATTGAACAACTGTGCTCAATGCTCAAGGTGCCCAAATCAACTTTCACTTCCGAGCCGGTTCAATCAGTGATCTTGGAAGAAGGTCAACCCGCATCAACCCATGCCATATTAGGCTCGGCACCGTGCGACCATGTGCTTCCATTTGAATCCGCCGACCCCGGTCGAAGAAGGGGGAGCGCGCAAGGGAGTACCGTCACTTAGGGGTCAGACACATGTTACAGGTATGAGAGTGGCGAGGTCAGGTCTTCGGGGCCAAGATGAGCGAGACAAATGGAAACAAACTGGCTCGTTTTGGACCAGACTTAGATTGGGAAAAGCCGTGGCGGGGTCAGGTGTTCGGAGCCAGACTTTGCACAAGAAATGAAAGAAAAGTTTTTTTTCTAGGGATTCAGAGGGAGCAGAATTTGCACAAGAAATGAAAGAAAAGTTTTTTTTCTAGGGATTCAGAGGGAGCGTGTGGCATGGAAAGTGCAACCCCTCAAACCCCTCAAACCCCTTAAACCCGTCAAACCCCTCAAACCCCTCGAACCTTGCCAATGGTTCTGCCATTGCACTTGTTCCTAATAGCAGGTGTTCGGAGCCAGAATTTGCACCAGAAATGAAAGAAAAGGTAAAAAGTTTTTTTTTCTAGGGATTCAGAGGGAGCGTTTGGCATGGAAAGTGCAACCCCTCAAACCCCTCAAACCCCTTAAACCTCTCAAACCCCTCAAACCCCTCGAACCTTGCCAATGGTTCTGCCATACTGGCCGCCTCAAACCCCTGGAACCTTGCCAATGGTTCTGCCATACTGGCCGTTGGAGACGCTCCAAAACCCCGCACTTGCTGGACTGTGGGCCCTGGGCTCTGTGCGCTGGCCGTTGGAGACGCTCCAAAACCTCGCACTTGCTAGACTGTGGGCTCTGGGCTCTGTGAGTGCAACCAGGGGAGGCTCGTTTTGGACCAGAATTAGATTGGGAAAAGCCGTGGCGGGGTCAGGTGTTCGGAGCCAGACTTTGCACAAGAAATGAAAGAAAAGTTTTTTTCTAGGGAGATTCAGAGGGAGCAGAATTTGCACAAGAAATGAAAGAAAAGTTTTTTTTCTAGGGATTCAGAGGGAGCGTTTAGCATGGAAAGTGCAAACCCCTCAAACCCCTCGAACCTTGCCAATGGTTCTGCCATGGCACTTGTTCCTAAGAGCAGGAGTTCGGAGCCAGAATTTGCACCAGAAATGAAAGAAAAGGTTTTTTTCTAGGGATTCAAAGGGAGCAGAATTTGCACAAGAAATGAAAAAAAAGGTTTTTTTCTAGGGATTCAGAGGGAGCGTTTGGCATGGAAAGTGCAACCCCTCAAACCCCTCAAACCTTGCCAATGGTTCTGCCATACTGGCCGCCTCAAACCCCTCAAACCCCTCGAACCTTGCCAATGGTTCTGCCATACTGGCCGTTGGAGACGCTCCAAAACCTCGCACTTGCTGGACTGTGGGCCCTGGGCTCTGTGCGCGGGCCGTTGGAGACGCTCCAAAACCTCGCACTTGCTAGACTGTGGGCTCTGGGCTCTGTGAGTGCAACCAGGGGAGGCTCGTTTTGGGCCAGAATTAGTTTGGGAAAAGCCGTGGCGGGGTCAGGGGTTCGGGGCCAAGATGAGCGAGACAAATGGGGCCAAGAGCGCAAGAAATGAGAGAATAGTTTTTTTTTCTAGGGATTCAGAGGGAGCATTTGGCATGGCCTCGGAGGCTCGTAGCGATGCACTCGTTCCTAATAGCAGGTGTTCGGAGCCAGAATTTGCACCAGAAATGAAAGAAAAGGTTTTTTTCTAGGGATTCAGAGGGAGCAGAATTTGCACAAGAGATGAAAGAAAAGTGTTTTTTCTAGGGATTCAGAGGGAGCGTTTGGCACCGAAAGTGCAACCAGGGGAGGCTCGTTTTCGACCAGAATTAGATTGGGAAAAGCCGTGGCGGGGTCAGGTCTTCGGGGCCAAGATGAGCGAGACAAATGGAAAC